GGGTTGGGGTCCTGGTCCCTCTTGGTTGACCCAGGGGTGTCACCACCATGTGCTTGTGGGCTCCAGCCCAGCCCGGCGTGGGCTTTGCCCAAACCCTCCCGGCCACCGACGCTGCTGCTGCTGTTCCCGCAGGTGCCCGATAGCGTCTTGCTGTCCACGGCTGCCCTCCTCCCGCTCATCCCCCAGGTCAGGCACCTCCTTCGTGTGCGTGGATCTCCAACCCCACCGCCCTCCTCAGCCACGCAAAGACCCCCTTGCCCTGACCTCCCCCTGCCCCCTGCAGCTCGCCAAGGTCCTCCCCCGCTCTCTGCCGCTGGAGCTGCGCGTGTGGGTGGCCAAGGAGCCGGTGGTGGCCGTGAGGGGCAGAAGAGCCACTGCCACCCTCAAAGCCTTCATCGAAGTCTTCAGTCCCGCCCTGCAGTCCTCCCAGAAGCCCCTCTTCTCCCTTGACACGGTGAGTGGTCTCCTGGGGCGTGAGACCTCCGAAACAGGGCAAGGGCTGAGTCCGGCTGTTCTCTGGCATCCCTTCAGCTTGCCCTGCCCTCAGCCCTGCGGTACCTGTGCTCTTGCATTTACTACATCTTCAGAATGGTGGTGCCCAGTCCTTGTAACCACATGCAAGTGAAATGTTTAAGGAATAATCCAAAATAAAGAGAGGAAGGGTGAACCCTAGGGAGAGAGATACATGATGCTAGCCACCAAAAAAATGCAATTTTTAGGCACAGACAAGTGTTTTTTTTCTCAGAATGGGTTATTTACAAGTACTCTGGGTTTTCTTTTCAGTCTTGGGAGCCATGCAGGGAAATAACCTCATTTCTTCCATTGTTCTAATTTCAGGACGTTGTTCTGAACATCATCCCATCGGTCTCCGACGGCAGACTGCAAACCTCCCTGGCTCTCAACAGGTAGAGCCGAGCTTTCTGGTTGCTGTGGCTGGGGGGGTCTCTACCTGGGGATGCTCACAGCAACCCGACGAGATGGGGCTGGTGACAGCGACTGGGGAGTGTGATGTAGAGGTGGCAGAGATGTACAGGGCTGCCGGAGCTTGCCCACCTCCTCCCAGCCCCCACCTCAGACCAAGTGCATGTCTGAAGGGAGGGCAGAGTTGTAAAAATTTGCCCTATTTTCAAAATCCTTGTATCTTTATGTGGGTGAGACAAATTCTGGGCCAAGAAAGGGTCTGAGTGGCATTTGGGAAACTGGAGGAGGGCTGCACCCGGTGCACCCTGACTCTGCCTTGGTTTTGTCTCTTGTAGCATCAACCTGACGCGGGCACCCCTGGGACTTGACCCTCTCAGTGTAAGTGCGGGCTGCTTTGGATTGAGTCGCTGCAGCAAGCAGTGCGATGGCCTGAGACTCTGTGGAGGGAAGGAGACCCAAAATGCCAATTTTTCAGCCTTCACGTTTCTTCTTCGCTTGGCAGAGGCCAATTGCTGCCTGCCCTGTCGATCCCCTCTGCCCTGCGGCAGTGACACTTGGCTGTGTGCATTCACTTGCTGGCAGCGCATGGGGGGTGATGGGAGGTGTGGGGGGGAATAACTGAGGAGAAATTACCCAAAGAGCAGCCCCTGTGTATCCCCCCACCCTCGTTCCTGCGAGGGTTTCACTGAAGGAAGACTCCCAGCATTTGCGTTCTGTAGCTCTGAGCCTCCTGCAGTGACAGAAGGGAGTTGATAACCCTGACATCGCCGTTTTCATCCCAACAACCACCGCTCTCTTCTTCAGACACTGACATGCAGGTTCTTCCCCTGCAGGTCTCCCCCCTCGCAGACTGGCTCAAGCAGGTCCTTGAGGCTGCATACGTCCCTGCCATCAACGGTACAGCCAGGGGCTGGGTCTCCTCTCAAACTCGGCTGCATTTGGGGCTCTCCCCCTTCCCTCGCTGCCTGTGTTTGGGGTCCTCCGCCCCCCGCCCCATGACAAGATGCTTTCACTTGCTTTTGCAGATGCTTTGCATGTGTCAATCCCTCTGCCCAACATTCTCAAAACCAGCCTGAAGAAGGTCGAGGTTGACATCATTGATGTAAGGATGACATTTCCCACAGCGCTGCCTTCCCGGGGAGCTGGGGGATGAGCCCCACATCGCCCCAGCCAGCCTGTTGCCCACGGGCTGCTCCCGGTTTCCAGGAGGTCCCTCTGCCTGCATGGACCCACGGGAAAACCTCAGCTGGGATACAGGGAAAAGCTGGTGAAAGTCCAAATGAGAAAACTGAATAGTTTTTGTGCTTCTTCTCCCAGGCAGACGACTCTCCCGACCAGAACGCTTTAAAAAGGTTCTGCTCAGAAGGACCCTCGACCCTGCTCCCTGTCTGAGGCCGGCAACACGCCGTGAGCCCCAGAGACCCACTTGTCCCTACTGTTTCCAGCTTCATTTTCCCTTGAGCACTGCCCTGTGTTGCCGCTGTGGCCAGAGGAGACAGGTGACCAGCTCTGCTTGGCTGGTGCTGGCATAGCCTGGCATTGGGGTGGGGAAAGCTGCACAGCTGGTGGATGTTGGGGGGGTTTAACATCTGTAGTCGGGAAGCACAGCTCGCTCTTAGGCATAAAGGTTGCTCTCGTCTTGCTCTTTCAATAAAATCTTTGACTGCTTCAGTATTTCTCTCTCTGAATATTTAATTGATATGGGTTCCTGGCTGCCAGCATCCATTTGTCTCCACCATGCCCCTAAGCCATACGGCGCAGCTTGGAGAGGAGGCTGCACCTACACGAGCAAGCCGGTACCTTACAGAAAGCGATTTTCAAGCCCAGCCTGTGGCCCAAGGTGTGAAGCAGCAGCTCACACGGGTGCACACGGGTGCCCCGCTGCAGCCCATCCCCTGCCCGGCTGGCTGCTGCTCGGGCCAGGCTGACGGCGGGCAGAGGAGGTGCTCGCAAGGGGCAGATTTAGCAAAGCACTTGCTGACATTTCCCACCTGTTTGGAGCCGCTGCAGGGGGAGCAGCTCCTTGCCAGGGGGGCGTTTGCAGCGTGTCCCACACGGCGCCCAGCAGTGCTGGTTCTGCAAGGCTCTGTTCGGAGCCAGGCACGGGCAAACTGAGCTTACGCCTCCGGACTGCCTTGTTTAGGAGCAGGTTAGGCCCTTATTGTGTAAGATGCACCGGGTTGTCAGCAAGAGGTTTTTATCTCACAAAGGTATCAAGTGTTAAGAACACCGGGACAAAAGCACCCTTATGGCCTGGAGCTGACGTGGAGCCGTGTCTCCCACCGCCCAGGGGCTTTTCAGAGGCTGCCCAAAGACCATCTGGCGGCTGCGGGGATGGGTGGGATGACCCGCAGGAACTGCTTCGGGTTGAGTGTTAGAGACAAAAATCTCCTGGTGCTTTTCTGGAGCCTCCCCATGTGCACGCTGGCAACGTGAAAAATACAGTAGCCTGTGTGTGGTAGTGTGTGTTTGACAGCTTGTGTGCAAGTGTTAGCAGGGATTTGTCTGGAAGAAGCTGATTTTCCAGCATGGATCTTTTGGGGTCAGCAGCAGCCTCACGTGCTGCAGCCTGCAGAGTCCTGGGCTCCTGCTCCTTTGCTTTAGCTCTGGGCCCTCGGGTACCAGAGCTGCCCAGTAACTGGGTATCCAATAACCTGTTACTCAATGCTTTTTCCTGGTTTGCAAATCTTTATTTATATTGGAATATATTAAAACCACAAATGCTGCGTTGTACACCTGATACACCAGCCCAGCTTTTACAATTGAGGCATCTTTCCACTTTTTCCGCATCGGCTTCGCTATATAAGGACCCACCGTTCCTACACGTTAAAGCGGAGGTGCTTATAGACACCTGTAAGGTCTTCCCTTGACCAAGAGCTGAGTGCTGAAGACCAAAACCAGGCTTTGAAATTCAGGATAAGACCAGGTAAAGAAAGATGGTCAAATAGTTGTATGGGGTGTTGTAAGCCTGGGGGTACAGAGCCACCATTTTAACTACAAGCCTTGCAATATACTGTGGTGGGCAAGAAAAAAACATGGGAATGACATCCATAAATGCAGGTAAGTAATTCTAGTTTGTATTTAGTGACCAGCCTGAAAAATCAGAAGAGAAGGTTGTTATAGTAAAATGAAAACCCTTCTCTGAAAAAAACCCCAACATTCATTTGACAGGAAAGTTTGGGATTTTTTGTGTTGCAATCTCCTCTTAAGGTTCTTGGGGGTTTTTTGTTGTTGTTATAAGGTTAAAACATGCTTCATCCAAATGTGAGTTACTTGTACAACTGGAGCAGTAATTTGCATACCCACTTACAGGGTGGTTACTGGCGAGGGGAGCTCAGTGTAGTCTGTAGGTTATGGGTGGCCATTTCATACTGTAATTTTCAAATTACGTCACGGTGACCAGGGACAGAAAGCAGCCGGGTGTCCGGGGTGCCCGTCAATAGTGAACAGGTGCTGGGGTTGTGCAGAAAGTGGCTTGAGAAATTCCCTGCAGATTTGTGTCCGGACACCCCCTCGCCCTCCCTTCCCGTGTGTCCAGCTCAATTCGCCAGATGTGGCTCTACCTCCTGAACGGTTGTGGCCCTCCCAACGCTCGTGTTTTCTATTCACTGAAAAATTTTCACCCAACTCCCCTTCATTTCCAGGGGGTCGCCCAGCCTGTTCTCACTCTTTTCCCGTTGTCCTTCCCAGGTCCTGCCAGCACCGCAGCTCTCCCAGCCGAGCAGAAGACACCATGCCACCGGCCCTGGGCTTCGCCCTCTTGTACGCCCTGCTGACCCCGTCACTGAGCCAGCCAAAAGATGCCGTCCTCAGGCTCAGTAAAGGTGTTTTAAGCGATGGTGAGTCACTCTGCCTCCTCCTAGCAGGACCCTGGGAAACAGGAACCAACGGTGGGTCCTTGGGGACTCACACCCTTGTACCAGCCCAGCCCAATCACCCGGGGGCAGGGAGGGACCTTGCACATGGAAGGGGACGGACAGGAGGCTTGTGGGCAAACCTCCCCCTCCAAAATGAACCCAGAGTCATTTTTTTGTGTAATTAAAATTTCAGCTGGCCAGGCTCATGGCATTGCTCGTGGGGGGGATTGCTTCTCCTGGGAGCCTGCGCCACTCTAGAGGCGTGAGCCACACGGCACCTCGATTATCTCACATTTAGGGTTTATCAGTGCCTGGGCCACACCGTTTGCTGTCTCACCCAGCATGGCCACAGACAAACTCCCCCGAGCTGCTTTATGCAGATCTTGAGGTGCCTCCTCTCCTGGATCCCAAAGCCCTTTCCTTGTTGCATCATATATGGGAAAAACTGACAGCGGACAGTTGGGGACTGGGATGGGCAGCGATGGTAGTGGAGAGCACAGACCCTTGACAACCCGTGCTTGAGGAGCACAACGAGTGCGGGCAGGGGGCTGGCAGCTCCCTGCCGGTCCCCGCCCGAAGGCTGTGGCGGGGGAGGCAGCTCTGCCTCGCAGGCTGACGGCGGGCGATGTCTCCAGCTCTCACAGGCTCGCTCAGGCAAGGCAATGCCCTCCAAGGTGCCCTTGGAGAGGTGCCGCTCGGCAGCGGACGTCCCGGCACAGATGGAAGTGAAGACCTGTTGGGCGGCCTCGGAGGAGGTCTCCTTGGCGGTGGTGGTGGTGGTCTGCTTGGTGGTATTACTGGTGGTTTGCTGGGCGGTGGTGGCGGAGGTCTGCTGGGGGGGCTGACTGGTGGTCTGCTTGGCGGAGGGGGGGATGCCAGCGGTGGCTTGCCAGGTGGAGGTGCTTATGGGGGGGCACCCAGAAACCCCCCCAGAGGCTGGCCGGCAGCTGGGGGCGATGTCCCCCGGGATGGCATCCCTGCCGGGGT